CACTCAAATTTATTTAATATCCCGTTTGGCCAAGCTTCTTTCAAAGCCAAAAGTGTTTTTTTCTCAAAAAAGTACTATTGGGGAGAAGCAAAAGCAAAAGCAGAAAAAAGTAGCTTCTCCCCATAAGCAGAAGCAGTTTTGATTTATTTTTTTTTTTTGCCAAAAATACCCTTAGCAAAAATTGTGCATACCAAAATAATCTTACTTAGTTTAAACTATTATGTAATATATAATGACTTTTGGGTTGAATTTTTATATTTGTTGAATAATTTTTTGATATATTTAATAGCCTGTTTGACCATATATGTATGTATATATATATATATATATATATATATATATATATATATATATATATATATATATATATATATATATATATATGCCAAAAGTGCTTTTTTTTTTCCAAAAATTGAGGTGCTTGGACAAGCTTTTAGAAGAAAAGAAATGCTTTTAAGGAGAAACCGAAGCATTTTTTGATAAGCAGAAAAAAGTAGCTTCTCTCTAAAAGCAGTTGTCTAAGAAGCGTTTTTGAGAAAAATACACTTAGAAGCAGTTTTTAAAAGCTTGACCAAACACAAATTACTTCTTAAAAGTGCTTTTCAAATTAATTCTGTTAACCCGGGGAAGGTGTTAGGCACCCCCTGATTCCGTGGTTCTAGCACGATCGCTTAAACTATTATAATTGGCCTATTATCTGATTTTAATACATGTTTTAGCCTATGGTATAATTTTAACTTTATAACCGCTTTTATTCATTTTAAAGAAGATTTAACGCCGTCTAAAACATGTCTTTGGACCGCGTCACATGAAATGCACCCGCAATCCAAAACACATTCTATTCAACGTTATTAAGATTTGGATTTGGGTCACCTGAAATGCACACCCGAGTTTATGAAAGTAATATTATTAAAAGAACGCGCCTAAAGCAACTACGCATTTTTAACTTTGCGAGGGCCATGGAGATTTGCTAAATGGCGCGCCTCGAATTCTATGAATTAGGTGTCATGACTATGTCACGGGAACCGTACCCATAGTCACGATAATTTATTTAAACGCGCCTAAAGTAACTAGTGGTTATTAAGAGTTATAATTATTTATGAAGCAAGACCTTAGCAAACCCACACGGCCTACCAAATTAATCACTAGCCCTGTTATTATCTCTATCAAATCACGTCACTAATCACTATCAACCTACCATTAAACCCAACTTCTATTAATTAAAATTAAAAATCCATGGCTTAACAGTAGTACTCACTGATTGCTCATTCAACTTTCAATAACAAAATTAATAACAATAGATTAATGCCACATGCTCATAAGATAAACAAGGTACAAATCCAAACATGTCAAAGCTATTCAATTAGCCACACTGTACTCGTGACTGGATGATTCAGAGGAGATGACATATAAAACATGTCAAATAGCGTGGAAAAATCCTTACCACAATGGTGGCGAACGAGTTGTCGAAACAGAAAACAAAGATAGTTCAGCGAAGCAAAAAGCATGAGTAATGTCCCAATATCCACATAATCGAAACAGAGAAAGAGGATTTTTCAGCTAAATAGCTTTCAACATCACTGATGCATTTAAATAACAATACCATTTAAAATGAAGTGATACCTAACCTTATATAAATTGAAATCTGAGGCATACCAAATAAAGGCCGAGAAACAACAACTGGATGAAGCTCAACAAAAGCACGGTACAGCAGCAAGATCAGCAGAATTTTAGAGCCGAAACATTACTTGGAAACCCAGAAGACAGAAGTAAATAGCAATAATTCCAAGCAATTTGCAGAAATCTCTTTTAATCCTACTTTACTTTTTCAGTATTGCAGATTTCAGACCTGCTTAATCTTGTTTTCAGCTCCTTCTTCCCTTTTCATGTGAGGATGTGTATGTCTCTATATGAGTGAATTGAGAGAGTAAATATATGCAGACCCGTGAGAGAATTCATGAGTACTGTGTGCGAGAGTGTATATTTCTTCCACTTTTGTTGAGAGTGAGGCGTGTATCTATATTAGAAAAAGGGGGGTCTGTTCTTGGCAATCATGAAAACGGGGAAGAAGCCCTGAAATTCCGAGATCCGCCGTTGCTCTTGGGGTAGGTCTCTTTTTTATGTGTAAAAATCTGATAATGCGTATGTTTATTTGTGGATTAGGTACTATTATATAGGGTAGGGATTAGGTTAGGGGATATGGGCCTATGAATTATGGGCTAGGTAAGAAAATTTGGGTCTAATTTGGGTACAAGAACTAGCTCAATATCCAATCAAATCTTTTCTTCAAAATCTTTTCTTATCTTTTCCTTCTTTTTTTTTAATTAAAAAAAACCTAAAATTAAAATCCTAAATTATCTAAAAATGTGAAATTAAACTAATTATAAAAACTATAAACATTACTTAATTCTAAATTAAAAGAGAAAAATTAATAAGCTAAAAATCAAAAGACAAAAATATAAAAATGAGCTATTTTTTGTGATTTTCGAATTTTTATAAGCAACTAATTACTGGTTAATTCTAAAAATATAAAAATAAATCCTAAATGTAATGCATGATATTTTGGTATTTTTTCATGATTTAAATAAAACTTAAACATGCACAAAATGCAAACAATTAAAAATTCTACAAAAATTCCTAAAATGCAAATAATTAACAAAAAATCTATTTTTCTTGGGATTTTATAGGAGTATTTCATATAGGGCAAAAATCACGTGCTTACAACCTATAGACAAGGCAAGTAGCTTGATGACCATTAAGGCGTGTGTTGGCATAGTTAGAGATTCTTTTATCATTAACCAGAAGTACCTTATCAAATTACTGCATATAAACAGTAATGACACCGCCTGAAAATTATTTATCCGTAGCCTAAAGCTTAATCTTGACTCGTAGCCTAACTGTTAAGCGACTGACTATCATGTTTGAGATCAAGGGTTCGATCCCAATAGGCTCTGAATTTTAGTGAATTTTAGAGCTCTTTTTGTTTCTAAAAATGGACGTCCTACGGGATCAAACTCCTGATCTCTCCATAGATGAAAAGAAATAGCTAAACCAATAGGCTAAGGCTTGGTGTGTGAGCTAAAGCGAAATATGAACTAGGATTATTAGTGTGAGCTAAAGTGAAAGTAATCTGCACATTTTAATTCATAGCATTAGATATTATATTTAATAGTTTGGTAAACTGTAATAGCTATAATTTAATTGCACGATCACACATGACCATGGTTTACGTCATTATACATTGATTTAGTATCGACGATACACGTTGCCTTTAAAGATTAAGTTTTGTCCCTTAGAATTTAGGATAATTGTTTGGAGATCAATCACATGTTATTGTCAACTTATTTGATTTCCTATGTAATTTATTTCCTTGTATCCTATGTTATTTGATTTCCTATGTAATTTATTATTTAATTTGCACTTTAGAGGTGAATTAATGTTAGTTATTCTATAAGACCAAATGCTGGTGTTAAATTAGTTTTTAGAATATTCAATGTGTTCTCATTTACTATATTTTTAAAGTCTTATATCCTAGTGTTTGTACTCGTATAGATGAGTTTAACACTTACTTATATAACGTGGTTAGTTTTGATTAGTGACGTGCTTATATTTTTTATTGTATTTTTTTTGTAGAAAATAGCAATGGATAAAAGTTGACTGAATATTAAGAATAAATGTGATAAAAGGTATATTAAAGGAATAGATAACTTTCTTAATTGGGCATACAGTCAACCAAATGTGAGCACTGTGATCAGATGTCCTTGTAAAGGTGTAGAAATACAGAGTACATGTTAAAAATCCAAATAAGAAGACACTTGTTGAGCAATGGGTTTTGGGATAGTTATAAAGTGTGGGACTTGCACGGAGAGGTGTTGGTAAGAGTTGAAAATTCTGATGTGATAAACAATGAAGAAGTAGAGGATGATAATGCTGAAGAAGATGATATTACTGGGATGATTCATGATGCTTATGGATATGCGAATACAGCTGATGCAAATAATCTTCCACACCACAATGAAGAACCAAATTTGCAAGCACAAAAGTTCTACCAATTCCTTGAAGATGCTGAGACAGAACTTTATCCTGGTTGTAAAAATGTGTCTAAGTTGTCTTTTGTGGTTAGACTACTTCACTTGAAGTGCCTTAATCATTGGACCAACAAATCAATGGATGACTTGTTGAGCTTTTTTAAAGAAGTTCTTCCGGTGGAGTCATTTGTTCCAAATTCTTTCTATGAAGCAAAGAAAGTACTTCGAGACTTAGGCTTGGGGTACACCAAAATAGATGCATGTCAGAATGATTGTATCTTATATTGGAGCGAGCATGCCAATGCACAATCATTTCCTAAGTGCGGTGAGTCTAGATGGAAGCCAAAAGAGAATGGAGGCAAGAAGTTAGCTCATAAAGTCTTGCGACATTTTCCTATCAAACCAAGACTGCAGAGATTATACATGGCAAGAGAGACAGCAAAAAAGATGAGGTGGCATAAGGAGGAACGTGTTGATGATGGTATCTTGCGACATCCGTCTGATGCAATGGCATGGAAATCTTTTGATGAGAAACATCCCAGCTTTTCTGCTGAATTAAGAAATGTTCGATTAGGTTTAGCAAGCGATGGGTTCCAGCCTTATGGGAACATGAGTTCCAACCATAGCATATGGCCAGTCATACTAGTTCCGTATAATTTACCCCCTTAGTATTAGATGAAGAGTGAGTATTTCATGATGACACTTCTTATTCCAGGTCCTAAGTGTCCAGGCAATGATATAGATGTATATAAAAAACCGATGATTGAAGAATTAAAAGAATTATGGGAAGGAGCAGAAACTTATGATGCATACTCAAAATCTAACTTTATGATGCGTGCGGCTATCATGTGGACAATTAATGACTTTCCTGCATATGGGAACCTTCCGAGATGGTCAACCAAGGGCAAATTTGCATGCCCTTGTTGCCACAAAGATACACAATCGATTTCATTACGTAGTAAATTGTGTTATATGGGGCATCGTTGCTTCCTTCCATTAGACCATCCATGGCGCAAAAATAGGAGGTTATTTGATGGGAAAGTGGAAAAGGGAGTTGCACCTAATCCTTTAACAGGTGATGATGTACTTATGCAACTACAAGGGTTGGGTAATGTGACTTTCGGTAAAGGGCAAAAGCGAAAGCGTAATGCCCCTAATAATGCTTACAATTGGAAGAAGAAAAGTATTTTTTTCGAATTGCCATATTGGAAGACAATTTTGTTACGACATAACCTTGATGTGATGCACATAGAAAAAAATGTGTCCCATAACATTTTATCAACTGTGATGAATGTGGTTTGGAAGAAAAAGGACACGTTAAAAAGTAGTTATGATTTGGTGGACCTTGGTATTAGGCAAGGTTTGCATCCAATTCAGGATGGGAACAATGTGTTGTTACCAGCAGCATGCTACGCATTATCTCCAGAAGAGAAGCTGAATGTAATTTCTTAGCTAATTTGAAGGTTCCCGATGCCTTTTCATCGAATATTTCTAGGTGTGTCAAGGTTGAAGAGAAAAAGATACATGGATTAAAAAGTCATGATCACCATGTATTATTGGAAGATATTTTTCCATTAGCAATTTATGGTGTGTTGCCTAAGGAAGTGAGTGAACCAACTATCGAAATAGGAAAATTTTTCAAGAATTTATGTTCTAAGTGCTTGACAATTGAAGATCTTGATATCTTAGAGGCTGAAATTGCTATCACATTGTGCAAGTTCCAAATGGTTTTTCCTCCTGCGTTTTTTGATGTCATGGTTCATTTGCCCATTCATTTGGCAAGAGAGGCAAAACTAGGTGGACCAGTTCAATATCGGTGGATGTACCCTTTTGAGAGGTAACATGTTATCCTTTAAATTTCAATATTATAATTTCAGAATGTCACATTATTTTTAACTAGTAATTTGTATACAGGTATTTGCGAATACTTAAGTCGTATGTTCGCAACTATGCTCGTCCTGAAGGCTCAATTGCAGAAGGTTATTTGGCAGAAGAAAGCCTCACATTTTGCTCGCGCTACTTAAAGAATATCTCAACCAAGTTCAATAGGCCAGCTAGGAATGATGGTGAATCTGTGTCACATGGTGAGATATCTATCTTTAAAAATAGTGGATGGACAAAAGGTGGTTCAGATCCCGCCCCGCTATCTCGTGATGAGTTAAACCAAGCAACCATATATGTGCTTCAAAATTGTGAAGAAGTTTGGCCGTTCCTTGAGTATGTTTCTGGAGAACTTCAAGATAATTTTGTGTTAGGATAGTTCAATTACGTTTTCCTAACTAACCCATTATTAAAATGTAGGGAACACACCAGAGAGATGGAAATACAAAGTGCAATAGGGGATGGAAGGCATAACAATGACTTTTTTGATTGGTTTCGTGCACATGTAAGTGATGAATAAAATGACATGTTGAATATTAATGTTATTATCACATATGTTATTGATTACAAGAGTATTGTTTGTCTTTTGTAGATCTTACAACTATCTGCACAAGGACATGCAAATGATGATCTCATAAGCTTAGCACTCGGTCCTGGACCTCTAGTGCTTCGATATTCCACATTAATGGTGAATGGATTTAGATTTCAGACAAGAGATATAGAGTGGAGAAGAAAAACACAGAATTGTGGAGTTCTTGTTAGAGGAGATGATTCAGACTCAACAAAGGAGTATTACGGTATAATGGAGGACATTTACAAGTTATCTTATGTGGGAAATAAGAAAGTTTACCTCTTCAGGTGTCATTGGTGGGATGTGGCTCACGTAGGAAAAGGATATAAGATTGACAAATATGGCTTCACAAGTGTGAATACCCGTTGTGCCTTGAATACATATGAGCCATTTGTGTTGGCACCTCAGTGTGAACAAGTTTTCTATGTGGACGACATGTCTAACAAAGATTGGCTTGTTGTTGTGAAGACAAATCCTCGTGACCTTTTTAATATGCCTGAAAAGGATATTAATTCTACAGAAATTGAAGATGAAGTATTATCAAGTGAAGATGCTTATCAACAAGAGCAAGTTGAAATTAATACATCGCGCATTCATGCTCAAGAAATTGATATTGTGGTGTCCTTATATAGGGATGATGTTGAACCACAAATTATTTATTATAATCAAGCGACTGAAGCTCAAACAACTGTGCATAATGAGGATGATGGTTTCATTAATGACGATGACATGGATCTGTATAATAGTGAACAAAGCGATGAAGAGTTACTTGATGATAACGACGGAGAGGACACCGACATAGATGATAGGGATATGGAGTGACCAAATAGATAGCTTTCGTGTTTCTTTCTATGGATTCTTATCAGTAGCTTCTTTATCCCCCTTATTATTCTGCGATTCAATGAACCTTCATCTTAATTACTACCTTAAATATACTGGAATATCCCTTTTACTTTTATATGTGATGATGACTTGAATTTTATAGCTTTGCCAAGCTTCTAAATGTACATATACAGCAGTTGTTGAGTTTAAGAATGATAGAAATCTCAATAATGGCACGATCCTTTACTAGACAGATATGGATCTTCACCATAACTTTGATTTTTGCTTTCATATTTTTTATTTTGAGATATTGTAGGAAATGGTAGGATTTGGACGAGGTAGAGGTGCACGAGGTGGAGGTGGAGGTCGTCGTGCAGGTGGCAGTGTTGGAGTTCGTGACAGTTCTACAGCGACGTCATCCTACAGGGCTAATGCACCATTGACAAGGCTTGAGCGTTCTTCTCAACCACAAGCATTAGCACCTTCAGAGACCAGACATTCAAGTCAACCTCATCAAGAACCTAATGGACCACAGTCATCAAGAATTGTTGTCGAAAGTGCGCATCCCACTGTAGAAACTGAAAGTGCTGCAGGTTAGTTCTCTCAATCTTTCTGTTAACTAATTAACAACTCAATTTAGATATGGGTTGCTGCGATATTTTGTGTGCTTGTGCAATGTGGAGTTAAATGTTTCTCTGCAATCCAGCCAGCCACCATTTGAGTTATAGGTCTGCCCAGGAATTCCTAGTTTTCGTGAGACAGAAAAACTACTATATAAAAGAGAGACCAAAGTCTATGAACATCCTGATATATTTTCTTATGAATAATATATAGGTTTTATTTTTAGAGCTTGACAATCTCTGGAATATGGACTGGATACCTATCAATGCAATCTTGCCATGGTCCATCAGTTGGTGTCTTGATTGTCCTGTTACATCTCCAAACAGCACTGTTACACTTGCTCTTTCTGAACCTTTGTAGTAATTTGGTGTGATGATCTCAGTGCTTACAAATAAAGCATTTGAATTTGGATGGACTTGAAGAAGGTCTCTAGCTAAATCAATTGAGATTAAGCCAGCAGTACATCCCATACCAGAAAGATTGTAACTTTTTATGTTACTTCTTAACTTGTATTTGTTCACTACCATTGCTGATAAAGATGGAGTTGGAGAAAACAAGCTGCAGTTGACAATAAGAATGTCAATATCTTTTGGCTTGAGTCCTGTTTTCTTCATTAGGTCATCTACTGCTGAGAAAATATCGAAGGTCATGTGAGAAAATATCGAAGGTCCATATTCATCTGCATAATTTTGTTCCTATGAAGGTCATGTGTCGTTTTATGTGGCTTTTCGATTTTCCGAATTCCAATCTTGCTAATGTTCTTAAGATCTAAAGATTCCTAACTCTTTTAGAGGCCAGGAGATCAAAAGTACTGCTTGCTTCTGACTGTTAAATAATATTGACTGTTGAATACGAATTTTACTACTGCTTGCTTTTGAAGCTAAACAATTGCAGCAGCTCATCATTAAATATTTCTATTCTGGATGTTATATGATTGTTAAATATATATTCTTTTGCGTGCAGCTTCTTGCAAAAAATCCAATAAAGGGAGAGGGAGATACAAATCTTTACTTGTAGATTTGAAAACTAAGCATGGTAGTAAAATTCCTATTGTCATTCCAGATGACATTGAGAGAGCTGTAGGTCCCGGGTCTAGGGACATTGTTAACTATTGTGGTTTGATTATGCGCAGCACTATCTCATTCAGAGATGGTGATTGGCAAGAAATAATCACAAAACATGGAGATGCGATGTGGTTGAAGGTTAAGGTAATAATTTGTTAATAAAGGTTCTATCGACTTTTTATCACACATTTTATTTACTCTCAAAAGCTTTTCGTATTTGCATTTAGGATAAATTTGAAGCTACCGGAGTTCGAGAGCATGTATTGCAAGCTCTTGTGGTCAATACTATGAAAAGACATTTTAGAACATGGAAGACTCGATTGCATGCTGAATACTCTCGCTATGCTACTGATGAAGAGAAATTATCTCATAGGCCAAGTGATGTTACACCTGAGGATTGGGTGTTTCTGGTAGGACATTTTGGAAGTCTAGAATTCAAGGTAACTTGGTAATATAAATATGTGACAAATTACTATTTCAATTCTGGTTCTTAATTTATGGATATAATTTCAGGCTGTGAGTGAGCGAAACAAAATAAACAGGGGAAAACAAATAACTAAACACTCATGTGGCTCAAAGTCATTTGCTGAAGTGGAGGAATCAACGGTACAAATTCATTTAGCACAATAATATTTCATATATTTGTCATTCTTTTTTAGGTCACATTATGTACTTAAATAGTTTTCTCTACTTTAATAAATCGTAGAGAAATCCAGTTAATGGACAAAAGGCACCACCGGATCGAGTTTGGGAGCTCCAACATACTCGTAAGAATGACAAAGAACAACTGGTATGGTCAGATCCACAGTCGCAGCAAATTCATGTAATCTCTTGAAATTGTGTTTTATTTATTTTATTTTATGTCTCCTATTTTATATCATAAATTGTATGCATAATTGTAGGGGCAGCTCCAAGAAATTGTGGAGCAACAACAATTTGAAGAAAATCCGATGAATGCAGATGAGATTTTAGTCACCGTACTTGGCGAACGAACTGGCTATGTTCATGGGAAAGGGTACGGAAAAAGACTTGCAAAAAGAGCCGAGTGCAGCAGGTAGAATTAGAAGCAAGTATGTCTTCTGCAATGGAAAGTATGCGTCAAGATATGCAAGCTGAAATGGACAGAAAATTACAAGAAGAACGTGAACAAGCTGCTGAGTTGCAAAGAAAGGTAGAAGAACAAATGGCTGCTGAATTGTCATGGAAGCTAGAAGATGATCGTTTTGAGTTACGAAGAAAGCTAGAAGAAGATCGTGCTGAGTTGCAAAAGAAACTAGAAGAGGAGCGCGCGCACATGAATCTACAACTTGACAAAAGATTTAAAGAGCAGATGGCTACGATGATGGCTAGAATTCAAAAGGTAAATGCTAATGTTTCTGTACTCTACAAATGTACTATACAACTGTTAATACAATGCTGCTAGTTTCAACACTACAAAGGATAAAAATTTAGTTCATATAGACTCTCTATGATAGAATTTTCTCATAGCAGTTGAAGCATATCTTTAAGATTGCGCAAAAAAAAAAGGAATTATGTGTGATCTAATATTTCTGTTAATTCAAAAGATGCACATCACAAGGATGAGTAATCATAAGAATTTCAAATGTTAGGAAACCTCTACCAAATTCATTTGCAGCTTTTGAAAAACCTAAGATGCCTGATGACAGAAACAAACTTCTAAGAGGAAGACACCATTCACGCATTAAGGAAGTAGCTCTATATATTGACAGCTAAGCTAGATGCTCAAGCCTCTCAGCATACAGTTCACGAACTCAGTAAAGGTTAGCTTCTTACTAAAATCGAGAGAAGTGTGTCAGTTATCAACTGCCATACTTCGGGATCTAAATGTATCATAATACACTGCTTAAAATACCGCAATTCTGCTACTTCAGGGTACCTTTTTGCTACTTCAGGGGACCTTTTTGCTAGAGAGTTTCTGCTGCTACATATTTGCCCTTAGCTCTATAAACTACCAATTCTAATTCATCGCTTCAATATACAAAACCTGTTTATGCCTTGCCGTTTAAGATATTAAACAACACTTAAGTAGATAGTTCAAACTTAAAAAATATGTGAGTGCAACTCTCTGTTCTGTCAAGCAAAGGGAACATGAAAATCAGTGATGACACTCCATTTGGATAGTTTGTCTTTAGTATACAGTTTTCCATGTAAATTCTCCTAGAGACTTTGTTCTTGACTTAAAGAAGCCTGCTACATTGTTAACTTTTTTTTTACTAATGTCTTTGAAGGTTTAAGTCATGCTTGCTTTCTAACAGTTAGGTTGCATGACTTGAGGATTTTCATTCAATAATGGTTCAAGTGTAAAGAACTTATTATCCGTGTATAAAAATTGTCATTGTTGATAAGCTATACATTAATCTACTATCTTTGAGTCCTCTGCTAACATTTGGTTATAGTTTAAGATTGATATTGTCAAGAAATGTTCTTAGCCATGAAGCTATTTTAGCTTCCAAAACTGGATTTAGCTGCTCTTATAAATTGAGTATTGATTGTTTATCTTTGCCTAACTCTTGAACAGAACTGAACCGAGATCTCTTAAGTTAATTTTGAATAATTAGTTAATTTTGCCGATACTAGTTACAGCTAACTCCATGATCCTAGTTGAGAATGCACATGCTTTTTGGGATATTCTGGGGGAGGGTTCTAAATTTTTAGAAGAGACGGTTGCTATTCTAGACGATATTATGCATGAGTGGTTAGATTAGCATATCAGCTATCTATACTTATAGTATAAACCTCTTTGTGAGCTCCTTAGTCGTGGTACCTTCAGAACTATAGTTTGTCGTAATGAGCTCTATAAGGTTATGTCTAAAGTTACTAATGATGGACTGCAAAAAGGTTCAAACTGATCTGCTAAGGAATAGCCAGTGAAACTAGCTGAGAAAATAACAAATGTGTAGGGGACAATGTGCTCTAAGGATTGACATCATGCAGCTAACCCCTTCCACAGTTTCACTGGCAGAACTAACCCCTTCCACAGTTTCACTAGCATGTTTATTAGCTGATTCGCTTATGGTGTTTAAGGTGGATCTATTTGCAATCCGCCAATCCCTCCTGCCTCTGATGCTATGTGTAATTTATGTTTGTTTCCAATATAATTCCGCGATGCACAGCAACTCATAAGAGAAAATTTGAGAGCGGAATCTGTTTCCTCCTGAATGAGAATGGTTATATTAGCTGGCATACTGAAGGCTCAAACTGAAGTTTGATCTAAGTTCAGCTTTTTCTTTTTCATTCTTTCGTGTTGTTGTTACTTGTAGAGATATTTCCTTTAGTACGTGCATCTGCTAATTTTGTTCATCATATATTTTTTTTACAATGACAGGAACAAAGAACTTCAACAATGAAGAAATGAAGTTGCAGTAGAGCAGTTTACAAACATTGGAGTAGTTTGAAGTTTTTGGAGTATTTTAAAGAAATTGTATTCTTTTTATTGAGGACGTGCAATGACAATGATACTTTAGATTGTTTACACTTTTACCAATGAAAAGATTATATACAATTATTTCGTGAAATATTTTGTTACCACTATAAATATGTTGTTTTATTATTGTTCGACTACTAGTATGAATCTATTATAGTTTTATATAAATATTTTTTAAAACAGGAAATTTTTATTGTAGCGACTATTGTTGTCACGAAAATAATAGTATTGTAGCGATATTTTACCGTCACAAAAAGGTTAGTTTTGGTAACAATCCCTTGTTGCCACAAAAAGTAAGTGAATATTAGTGACGATAAAATTTGACACAAAAAGGCGAGGAATTTGGGGCGACTAATGTTGTCACGAAAGATAAACCTTTTGTGGCAACAACGATTCGCCACCAAAGAAGACTATTCAGTGGCGACTAACGTCTCTTGAAGGTGTATTTTGTGTCAATCTTAGTTAACTTTTGTGGCGATTAATGTTGCCACTGAAAGCATATCTTTTGTGTCGACCAATTCAGCCGCGACGATTGAGTATCAGCCACTCACTATAGCCAACGACTATAGGCTCACCACTGATGGTCTTCTGTGGCGACTTTTGCACTTTCAGTGACGACTTTTGTCGCCACAATAGGCCTCTTTTCTTGTAGTGTATCAAAATAAGCTAATTTTTTCAGTTTGGCCAAACAGACTATAAGCATCATAGAAAAATTTGTATACCACTTATGATAAATGCATAATTGTTACTTCCCAAATCTTATCCATGATTTAAAAATGAAATTATATTATTCTATCATTTTCAGTTCCCGTCACCAATCCATTCATAAATTTGATCAATATGTGGTCCATAATTAGCAAAACATACAATAAACAAGCTAATAAGGATGAAATATCGAGGTTTTATAACCTTTTTTTGTTAATAGAGAACATAGATTTAGTTCTCTTTATAGAAAGATCAATCACAGCCTTGAAAACCCTTATCACTATATAATGATGATGGCAACTTGTAAAGAAGATTAATAATCCAAGTTTTTAGATTTACAATCAACATCTGTACGTAATTATTGGTTCTAGCCACCAATAGCCTCTAAAATGGGTGTTAGATGATTTTCCTATTAAAGAGGAATTAAAATTCTCAACCAGAAAGAAATAGAACAAACAAAGAAAATAAAAAGGCAAAAAGACTCAAACTAGAAAAAGTAGAAGGCAAAAATGATTGTATGCCAAGACAGCAAGACTAAAGAGAAAATAAAGAAAGAAATGATTTGAAAGTAGGGTCAAGGATAGTAATATAACACAAAATACTGTTACTACAGTACGAAACATGGTGCTATTAATCATCATTGCCACCACTTTAAAGCTATTTTAGATTTAAACCTACAGCTCATGGCGCACGTTTGGTCCACTCAGTAGTGCAATTTCATTTTTTACTTGTACTGAATTGCAAATATCTCTTACTTTTTCTCCCATTTGGTAATTTTAAAACAGCATCAAGGAAATTGCACAGCACAAGGAGCTTTGAATTGCTACAAACTTCACCACCTGCATTTCAGATACCTAATAAATAAACAAATTAACAATGACAAATTATTAAAAGAAAACAATAAATCTAATAAATTACGCCAGCATATATCAGGCTTCATATGGGTATGCAATTAAGTAAAGTTTTCATCTTTCATGCTACTCAATCAGTCTTCAATTTATGGTATTATGCTGTTAATATAAATATTCAAAGAAAAAAGAAACAAAAGAGTTCTGTTCTCCATTTTCGTCCCAGAATGACCAATTATTATGTCTATACTACTAGCTAGTACTAGAATTAGAAGTGATTCAACTTACTTAACCCCCGTTTGTCCATAATATTTTTTTCCTTTCAAAAATCTGTTTGCCCGTGAGATTTTGCCAGTTTTTTAAAAAATTTCGAAAAAGTGGTTTTGACCAATTTTTCGATATTTTCAGAAAGATTTCTTTCCCCACTCACAAAACTGTAACATTTTTCAAGTGAAATACATATCCAATATAATTTCGAATTTCAAATACCATTGTTCAATTAGCTTAATTACAAATACTATTTTTTTTCTTCAAAAATTACAATTTTTATCTCCAAACGCCTACGCAATACATGTATTATTTGCTTAGCCTTTAAAACTGACAGCCATGCAATAATATTTCCATAAATTATAGAAAATTTTGATGCATCCCCTGAAGCAAATTTTATGAAGCCTTCAAAATTTTCATAACCATATCTTTTGCGGTTTTATTTACTTATTATAGCCGACGTTACCCATATCTCCATTTACCCTAAAATCGGATAACAATTAAATATGTACGCGGTTTTAAAAATATGTCGATTGATTCAACACAAATAATAAAGAATACTAGATATACGAGTTAAAGATAAAATAAATGCTCAAACCAGTAGTAATATTACGGCCTAGCTCGAGTCTAGATTGAAAAGTAGTTTTGCCCTCGATCGGACCCTTGGTTCGAACCCAAATAGGAGGAAGAACAAACAATTAAGTAAGAGCTTCTGCAATTTCTAGAGAGCAGAGAAAAGAATTTGTATTGCCTTGATTTGCGTGTTACAATGTGTTTTTCAAAAGAAAGAACCTCCCCTTTATATAGTAGGAGAGTTTCATTCCAGGTACAAGTCTAAAATAGGTATAAATCTTCCTTTCCCATTAGTTACTGATCCATAACCAACGTCGAGCGAGATCCGCACCGTGATATCCGGTCGGGTACGAATATAACGACCCTTTATTCATCGTGTGTAACTATTTACCGCGTTTCCCGAGGTTTTAGAAATTGTTCTAGGTCCGGGGAACGTTGCTTTATCATGCCTAGTGATGCACACATTGTTCTTCTTTCATGGGTCTCGATACGAAAGATTCTCGTCCTCGGTTTCAGTCTCGTCCGTGCCCTTCTTTCATTTTCTTCACCGGGAAATCGTAGTATGTTCTTTCCCCGATTTTACCAGTATACAAATAGTCCCCTCATTTTTTGGAGTATGTTTTTCGGAATGATGGGAAACGATAGATGAACCCCGGTTTCTTCGCTCGTACATTATAACTGAGATGACGGGAAAATCGAAACGTCCCATCAGTCGCATCTTTCTGACTTCGGACACTTGTCAGTCCTCAACTGGCTGTCTTTGAATGCTTAACGTAGCGCATCGATTTTCTTTTCCCCTATAAAATTTTCAACCTTCTTTACTTCTTCCACTTTCTGATTCTAGATTTTACCTTCGAACATTCTAACGGCTTTTAAATTCTCCAGATCTTTATACATTATTCATTGAGCCTTCATATCTTCATCTTCATCTTCATTTTCATACTTCATACTTCTTCTTTGACTTTCATCCCAGAACTTCATACCTAAATACCATCTTCAAATCTTCATATTTTTCTTCAGACCTATATTTTCCGGATTATAATGGCTAAAAGTTTCAAGTCAATGCCTCAACAGGCCGCCCCTTCATTTTTCCACCCGGCCGCAAATGCCGAGGTGGCCGTTCCCTAGGTGGCTCAAGAACCCCCCATGAAGAGCTTCATACCCGGGGGCTGCTCTATCCAGGATGACTTTAAGGTTGAGAAGGTCTCTAGCCAACAAGACCGAGGAGAGGGATCATGGAGATACATATGCTCCGTTAATGAAGAAACCCTACCCGTAGTCCGAGCGGACTTTAAAGGGAGGGTAAGGAAGTGGTCGTCCCCAGCCCAATGGCGATATTACTACTCGCGTGAAGGGATACCTGAGTCTTTACACGTACCCCTTCATGGTCACCCCTGTGGACCCCATAGTTCTTGCTTTCTACAAGAGGTACGAGGTGTGTCTTGGGCAAATCCACCCGTCTTTCTAAAGGATCGTGATCCTCTTGCGCTATTTTGTTAACAACACCGAATCTCCTCGGTTCACCTTCGACCACCTACTCCGTCTATACAGTCACCGAATCTTCCAAGGGGGACTGATCAAGCTCGTTCGCCGAGCAAGTAAGGCTCCTTTCTCGAGCATTGACGAGGACCGAGAACAAGGCTGGCAGGGGAGGTTTGTTCGTGTGAAAATCGAAGACCTGATCCCCCCTCTAGTTTCTTCCGTTCCCCGAGGAGTGGAACGCATCCCGTAAGTATTGTCTTTCTTGGGTATTTCTTACTTTTTATCCTTTCTCTCATCGCACGTGTTTGTGGTCGTGCAGCTGTTGCCCAAGTTCACGATACAATCTCCCGATTCAAGGAGTGGATCCAGGGAATTTGTAAGCAGATGCAGTACTCTAAGTGCGCATGGCGCAAGATCTCAAAGGGAAAATAGGAGGCCCGTTCTCATGGTGAGGATCTTCCCTGAATAGTTGCCATCACGGTCTTAACTTGTTCATTGCTAACCTTTCCTCTTTTCTTATAGGTCTGCATAAGACCACCGAATTTAGGCCGCTAGATGAGGATGAGGATCTGTCCTTGCTTGCCGAGCCCTCCATTTTGGGACATCCCGAGGCTTCTGTAAAGGAGGAGAAGAAGAAAAAGAGAAAGTCCTCGGGTTTCCCGGATCCTGAGGCGAAGAGGAAAAAAAGGGCGGCCACCCCGGTCCGGAAGCCCAAGAAGAACACCAAGTCCAAGGTACCGTACCCTTACTGTCTCTACCGGCTTAGGGATGAGCCCGAAGAAAATGACATCTTCGTCGCTCATGGGTCGACCCCTACTGGGGAGCGGGCAACGATCAAGAAAGAGGACCACGAGGTCGATCCTCTTCTGACTCGGAAACCTGAGGGGGAAATGGAGGCTGCAGCCTCCCAAGAAGCCGCTCTTATTCCGAAGGAGGCGACTGATATCATTGACATCATGGATATGCCCTCCTACATCGATTCTATGCTCGAATAGATCCAAGCGGGTAAAGAAAAGTCAAGTGAGGGAGCGCAGGGCCTAGATGATCCTCTCAACTCCTTTTTCGACGGTATGGACATGGCTGCATTAGAGGATTTTCCTGGGCTTGGTCACCTGGAGGTCCCGAAGAAGGATGCGCCCTCGAGAATTGGCGGCCCGAGATTGAGCTCAAGATTAGTGAAGCAATTTTCCCCACCGAGCGTGGACTCCGAGCGCAAGAGAACGGTCGTTCTCACAATCCCGGAGGACGCCCGGGTCCTGTCTACTCCCGTGGGCATATCCAGCTACCTCTGATGCCTGGTTACTGAGAAGGACCAGGCCAAGATGAACGAGGTGGGCACGTCGAGCCTTTTCAACCAGGCGCAACAGGCGCTGAACCAGGTAAGGCATCAACCCCTTGTATCCTTTTGTGAATCTTTCTTTAGACTTTGATGTCCTTTACTAATTTCTTTATTTTTCAGGATTCAGTGTTTCATCATGAATGCTTCCTCCGGTACCGCTTGGAGATTAGCTAGCTCGAGTTCGAGCTCAAAGAGTAGGTCTGGAAGAAGGACATGTACATGGCTCTTAGTGAACAACAGGACGAGGCCCTTAAAGACCTCCTGATTCTCCAGGCCGCGCTGGAAAAGACTCAGAAAGAGGCCTCGATCCTGAAGCGGGAACACGCCAACCTGGTTGAGAAGGTAAAGATCTTCGAAGCTAAAAACGAGCAACTAGTCGTGGTGACTAACAACGCAACTTCGCAGGTCCAACAGAAAATAGACCTGATCGACCAACTGCGGGTTGAGATGGACAAGGTCAAGGTCACGCCCGAAGTGTGGAAGGGCAGGATGGACCTGCTTGCTTCGGAGAAGGAATCTACGAAGGCGGAGCTGGCATCGGTTGAGAGCCAACTCCGGGTGGCGAAGGACAAAGCCGATAAGTGGTCTCGACTGAAAAATGATCTCCGAGCACATCTGAGCTCGGCCGTCGCGAAAGGGGATGCTCTCGGAAGAGAATATGCGGCTCTGAGGTCCAAATTGGATACAACCTCTGTTGATTTTGAGGAAATGGTGGCCCGGTACAATTTTTATATATATATATATATATATATATATATATATATATATATATATATNATATAATTGTTTTCCCTTTCTGGCAATATTGCACCATTACTTTTCCAGCATCTTCTTGCAATTTCTATTTTTGTACTGTTTTTGATGTCTTAGCATAGAATTATATGTAGTTCTGGGGCATTCATTTTTTGGAGGTTCGAGCGAAGCCCGGTTTCGATGCAACTTTGTTTGTTCGTGGCTTCGAACCCTCGGTGAGACCGGTGATCCCAGAGATGCTTAAGTGTTTTTAGACGATGTTTTTGCCGAGGGTAACCCTTTAGTAGGTTTCAAATTTTTGTAAAGGCCTTAATTTCTAGTTACGGACTTCGGACGTCTCCGAGCCATTTTTAGGGTGGCCGTAGCCTTTTATATTTGGGCACCGCCTAATAGGTTTGGTGCCTCCGAGATTCGGTAGCCCGGGTCGTTCGAATTTTCTTCGGGCGACAGTCCCCGAGTAGGGGTAGCCCGTGGGCTCTAGGATCTGGGATGTAAGAAGCAAAAACGCGTAGTAACAAAGGGGAAATTTCTTTCATTTCTTAGCATGCAAGGTAGCTGATCGAAAGCGTATAAAAACTTTTGCAATGGCTAGAGTGGACTATGTGGGCACGGTTCATACTACCATTTGGCCCTTACAATGAATCCTAACCACAAAGCCTTAGCTTTTGGAGAAATTTCTTGGAATCCGGCCCTTTCGATATTGGGTGCTCCCAGGATTTGATCGACCCTGGAATTGTATGTTTCCACCTTTTTGTCATTAGCCTCAATCTTCTTCTCGCCTAACTCTAGCCACGTCGTTAATGTTTCAAGCATTCTCATTATTTCGGGATTGACCCTGGGCTCAACTTCACCCGGTCTCTCGGTGATCTGTTCATTTCTTCGAATATTTTCCCGGGATTGTTCGGGCTCAACCCTGCTGGGGGCGTGGCTTTGATTGTGTAGCTGCACTATCGCCGCCTATTGAGCCTGCAACATTTCTAAGCTTAACGGTAGGCTTACCCCATCGCCTTCACCTTCGGGCGCTTCTCGAGCTGTTGGTCAGGGTCCCCCGCGAACACTATTTTCGGGACCAATTGGCAGATTGACGTCGATGGCCACCTGTGAGTTAGCATCGACCAGATCGATAATGGGATTAGCAGGAGGCACCTCGTTTCTAGGCACCAGATTATTATTTTCGCCATGATGGCCAGACTCAGCGTCAACGTTCAAGTGGGCAGACTGAGAATTTGACATTTATTAAGCTGACCTGAAATTAAGACTTTAAAGAACAAGCATAAAATAGAGTGTGTTACGGAGATTTGTATCAAGTCACCACTATTATCCTTAGCCCCACGGTGGGCGCCAAAACTGTTTACCCTAAAATCGAATAACAATTAAATATGTACGCAGTTTTAAGGATATGTGGATTGATTCAACACAAGTAATCAAGAATACTAGATATGCGAGTTAAAGATAAAATGAATGCTCAAACCAGTAGTAATATTACGGCCTAGATCGAGTCTAGATTGAACAATAGTTTTGCCCTCGATCAGACCCTTGGTTCGAACACAAATCTAAGAACAAACAGCTAAGTAAGAGCTTTTGCAATCGCTAGAGAGCAGAGAAATGAATTTATAGGGCCTTGACTTGCATGTTACAATCTGTTTTTGAAAAGAAAGAACCTCCCTTTATATAGTAGGAGAGTTTCATCCCTAGTACAAGTCTGAAAAATGTAAAAATCTTCCTTTCCCGTTAGTTACTGATCTGTAACCGACATCGAGCGAGATCCGTGCCGTGATATCTGGTTGGGTACGAATATCACGACCCTTTATCCGTCATGTATAACTATTTACCGCATTCCTCGAGGTTTTAGAACTCGTTCTGGTCCGGGGAGCGTTGCTTTATCATGTCTAGTGACGAACACATCGTTCTCTTTCATGAGTCTCGGTATGAAAGATTCCCGGCCTCTATGTCAGTCTCATGCGTCCGTGCCCTTCTTCCGTTTTCTTCATAAGGAAATTGGGGTATGCTCTATCCCTGATTTTACCCGTATAGAATCTCCTTTGGGATGCTAAAAGTTTAATAACCGTTCTTATTCATATTTAAGATTCTATACGTTTATAAAAACAAAAACTAGTCACTAAGTGGAGGAGGTGATTTATGGATACTCATGCAAAGTTTTCTTGGAAAAAATATTACGCCCTTTGTTTCAGTTTGTAGGGCAATATTACTATTTTGGGAGCCTACGAGGTTGTTCTTTGAGACTTTGACCATATTTTTCTTGAATATTTTATAATTATTTTGAATTATCGATTATTTTTACCTATATTGCGTAGTTTTCAAATATGTAAATTTCATTTTTAAACTTGAAGAATCAAAATCTTATTTAATGGTTAAAATTAAGAACATTGACCCTTTGTCAATGTACGCTGAATATGCCACATAAAGTGGAATGGTATATTTAAAATTAATAATAATGTTAGCAAGTTGAATAGTGTTTTGATTAAATTTTTCAATATTAAAGATTGATAATAATATTTTTCAACAACAATGAGGATTCATATATAATCAGCTCCCACTTATTTGAAGCAGTAATTATTGTTGTAAAGATTGATAGTAATAGCATAAAATATTAAATAACGATATTAAACATAATTACCTGTGTTACATGGTGACCAGAAGTGGGCAAATGGTGGACCGTAGCAGAATCTACTTCACCAGTGGGCAAAGGAACTGCTGGATTACTGTATATAAACGGAATATCACTCCCTTTCTGTGGAACCATTGGACTATTAGCAGGAGAAGCAGTTTCTCGTGGCGGCAATGGCCACGTGTAAGCGGGAGAAGATGACACAATGCTGCCAGATATAAATGGTGGAGCTGCCGCCGGTGACAGTTCAGGTGAAAGGGATACCTTAATTGCTAGCTTTTGGCCTTGTAAACATGATGCTGCATTAGTACTACCATTGTTGAATGAGAAGTAAAAGATACCGCGCCTAGATGGGTCCCACTGCATTTATATATATCAAGAAATAAAAAAAAGTCAAATTCTAATTATCCCCTTTTTAAGATTATCTTGAAATTTTGAACTTACTGCGTAGGATTTGGAGTTGGATTTGGTAAGAAGTGTAGCTTCAGTGAAATTGCATAAAGTAAAGGCATTCTGGTTCTGGAAAATGTAGAGATTGTACTGATACTTATGCTGGAAAACTGAAAAACAAATACAAAAGGGTCATCAAATTTAAATGCAAAATTTGGTTAAAGTCAAATTAAGCACCAAGAATAGCAGAATATTGTTCATACTGCAAGAGTACTTACCGATGGTATCCCCAATTTGGACAGTTGAATGTTTCCATTCCGAAACTCCATCAACCAATACATTTGCTGACTGAGAAAGCTGAAAGCGCAATAGATTTCCAAGAATGACGAAAATGAACCAAAACATGTAGAGAAGTCCCATGATATTTTTTTCTGTGTCTTGGTGAGGAAAGAAAGAGTTACAGCTTTAGTAGGTTTTTGGGTATGGATTCCAATTAAACGAAGAGAAAAGTAAGTGGTATATACAGTACGTGCTACACCGAGAAAGAGAAGGATGGGGAATTTGGGAAACTGTGTACTCCCTTCCTTATAATTTATGTGAATCTGTTTGACTCGACATAAAGTTTAAGAAAAAATAATTTTTTTTTAAAATTTGTTAAAAAGAGGCATAGAGTATTTGTATGATTATAAAAACTTCTCATTAAGGGTAGAAATATAAGTTTATGCTAAATTGTTTCCAAATTTTGATACGGGTCATTCTTTTTAAAACGGACCAAAAAGAAAATAAGTTCACATAAACTGGAACGAATGGAGTATCTATTAGCAAAAGTACTACTATCCCTCCTAGACTATAAGTAAATTTTGTTTTGGTTTATATACTAGTTATGCATGAATAGTAATGAAGAGCATTTCATATTATGATTTGATCCAACATAGGCGGAGCTACGGTGGAGAAAAGTGTTTATTCGAACCCCTAAGTCAAAAAATTACACTATATATACATGGTTAAAATATTTTTGTTTATGTATATGTAGAGTCTACTAGAAGTTGAATCTACTAAAATGTTGTAACGAGTTGCACATATATATATATAGTTGTAAATTAAAATGACCTTTAGGTCTTTGCTCGTGGAATTTTGCAGTTTATTTTGTTCTTCATCACAAGTTTTGAAAAATAAAATAAAATAAAAAAAGAAAAAACACAACGTCTAAGGTAAGAAAATTGGAAAGTTATTGCAATATAGGTCAACGATGTTCTGGTGCACAGTGAAAAGGAGGAAATATAGGATAATATGGCTGGATAAGAAAGTTCAAAAAGGTAATCCAAGCTAATCCGCCGCACGCATTGATGCGTGTGGCAAATTGGGTCAATATACACTTGCCTGTGGCACAACAATAACAACAAATAATGTAACCCCACAAGTAGGGCGCGTATGACAAATGGGGTTTCATCTAATTCTAAAAGTTATTTTTATAATAATTTATTTAACCGGAAACAACATCAATAATGTCTCAATCCGTAGCCATTTGGGCGCATGATACACTATCACCTGGGAACTCTTTACTTAGGACTCCTGATATTTGTCTGAAATTAAATTAATTTTATCATAGAATGGCCAACTGATGTGATAATATATACATTTTCCTTGTTCCATTCTAAGTGGCACAATTTATTTATTAGTCTACTTTTTTTTTAATAAAAAAAAAAGAAAAGAAAGGGCACATTCATATATTCTGAAAATAATTTAAATGTCACGATCCCAATTTTTCTCCGTAGGATGTCGTGACGGCACCTAAACTCTAAGATTAGGTAAGCCTGACATTTACTGAATTAATAGCAAAATTCAACCAACGATTGTTAAACACGAAATAAAATCTCTATACATAACTCACAATCCCAAAACCAATAGTATAAGTCATAAGCGAGTTTCACTAGAAAATCTTTAAGTACAAATGTTCTGGAAAGAAATAAACTGTACAAATATAACTTCCGAAGGTGACTCCGAGGCCTGCGAATGCCACGACAGGTATATATTGAAGTATCCACAGCAGTAGTTGATCCGCTATCTAACAACTAACGGACTCCGAAGTACCTGGATCTGTACAAAAATGTACAGAAGTGTAGTATGAGTACACCACGGTCGGCACCTAGCAAGTATCAAGACTAATCTCCGAGGAGTAGTGACGAGGTACAAGTCAAGACACTTACTAGATATAATAACCTGTGCAATTTAGAAGTATAATGCTAATAACGGAAAGCGAAAATCAGTAAATGGCAACAAGACCCAACAAGTGACTTAAATAGTAAAATAATAAGAACACTATGAAGTATCATTAAAACCAAATAAGGAAGCACAGAGGACAATCAATTAATCAAGCCGATTTGACACAAGTCTCACAACGAAATCACTCCGTGGTACCTCATATCACAGTCACAAGTCCCAGGCCTCAACCCACCATCATATACTAATCTCGAATCACAATCGCACGGACAACTCACGTGCCAAAAACACAATCCGCCCAATATAGTCACAGGCCCAATAGCAACATGAAAACGGATAATACAAGAACACATGTGCATGATAAATAAATGAAACATTTCATACTCCTGAACTAGTATAAGTGGCATGTTATGGTGTATGCTTGTGTGAGTGTACTACTGCACCCCAAGTCAACAAGTGATATCAAAGACATCGAACAACTTATCGAAACAACAAGACAAGTCACGTAAGGTGTATGACAAACACAAGGAAAAACACACCATCACACTAAAATTTTCAACACAATGTCTCCAAACCATCACACATCATCCATGACATTGCCACACTTATCTCTCTGACAGCCACCCGTATCACTCCGTCCTGACTGTATCATTAGCCACCCTTATCTCTCATGTAGCCACCCGTATCACTCCGTCCTGACAATATCATTAGCCACCCTTATCTCTCCTATAGCCACTCGTATCACTATGTTTAATAGCCACCCTTATCGCTCTACCCGGACAATAACACAACAGCCACCCGTATCACTCCATACATTCAACAACAGTGAGATGCCACCCTTATGCCCTACATGACAAGAACAACGTTGAAATGCCACCCTTATACTCCGCATAACAACAACCAAACCACACATCAATTCACATATGCTATCATTACAACAAGACAACATAACAACTCGTATCACAATTGCCCGTAGTCCATAACCTTTCCAAAGATTTAATGATATCAATATTTTCACAACAAATAGACCGCGGCTCAACACAATGTATTTAGAATCTTAATAACAACAAATGATTGGAACAGTAACTCAACAAGGAACAACACCCCTTTTAAATGCAACGACCGGTCGGATTGTTACATTCTCCCCCTCTTAAACAAACGTTCGTTCTCGAATGTGCCAAGATCCATTCGAAGTCCTCGAATCACTGAATGAACTTACCATAGATATACTCGTAGGTGACCCCACGTCACCCCAATCCACATAGGCCCAGCAACACCACCTCAACTAAGAATTTATTCCTTCCACCAATGCCAATAAGCCTATGAACAAAATTTCTCACCACCCGATCGTTACCAAAAGATCCGATTCCTATATCAACATATGGTATCGGCCTCAACCAGCTGCCAAAACTCATGCCTACACCTACAAGGTACAACCACACGACATGACACATCACACATACGCCCATAACGACATCTCTGATCACAATAACTGCCCATATTCAAACCAAACACCGACAATTAACCTTATATCAGCTAGAACCCTATTCCAAACCTCCACAACATCGGCAACGATGCAAGAAACATGAAGATGCCATGACTATTCACTCAAATCGATAAGTCACATCTAACACCACCTGGGCACACATCTCGTAAGCTAAAACCAAATAATCACAATGCGAAGACAACTACATAAGCAAAGAAAAACACATAAGAGAAATATCAAACAAGCCTGACAGGAACAACTTCCTATCAGTATCATACTGTGAATCAATTCCGCAAGGAAGAATTAAAACACATGAACTAATTACAAGGATATCATCCTAATATTACTCCACCGCGACACGTAGCCGGTTCAAACATATCAAATCACATAAAGATGCAAGGATCCCATCCCCACCTCTGAACCACAAGTAGTATACACATCATACCAGCCAGAGCCTTCTACTAATTCCATTCCGCTAAACAAAATCATAACACGTAACGAACTCTCCATGCCGTAGAGCATACAAACCACAAATTGTAACCAACCACCCATAAATCACCTCAAAACTACCATAATGAGTAACAGAAAGTCACTTCTAGCCTCATAGCTCTCAATAGTGAACAAAACAAAACGATAGACAAGGTTTACCACTACAAAATCTCCCAACAGGGGTAAACACATAAGTAAAGTACAAAATCACAAAACTCACCCCGATAAGCAGAACAAATCAAGATAACAATGATGCTCCTCTATAACGATCGAAACCATACATGTAACGACACCATTTGGTGCAGCGGCCTTAGCCCTATCATAGAAAGCATATCAACATGCCGGGCCTCCCCCTCTAGGGCGCCCACTACCCGCCTGTCCTCCACCCCTAGCTGGCTGTACAGGTGGAGTAGCAACTAGAATGGAGCCCCTAGCCTGAGTGCCCTGATAAAATCCGCCTCTCCCGAGTCTAGGACAATCTTTCATGATATGCCTAGTATAACCACACTCATAACAACCCTTATGTGAGCGTGGCTACTTGTTCTGAGTCTATCTCGGGTAACTGTAATAACCAATGTAGGAACTCCGTGTCGGTGGTGCACTATAAGATAACTGCCCGACATGAGCACCCTGACTAACTAGAACAATACGAGTAGTCTGAAGTGCGGACTGAACTGGCCGACTACCTGAGCCTCTGCCGTGATAGGTCCTAGCTGAAGAGTAGAATCCACTAAACCCTGCAGAACCTCGAGACCTCTTAATCTTCTAATCCTCCCTTTCCTCACCCAAAAACTCTCTTACATCTTGGTAATCTCCATCACCTACTGAAATGGAGTATCAGTATGCAACTCTCGAGCCATGCAGAATATAAAATCATAATTTAGCCCCTTAATGAATCTGTGGACTCGCTTTTTAATTGTAGGAACCAAGGTAGGTGCATGACGTGATAACTCACTAAACCTAGTAGCATACTCTGACACTGTTATGGTGCCTTGACGCAGCTGCTCAAACTCCGCACGCCATGTATCCCGAAGAGTCTAGGGAACAAACTCTCTCAAGAACATCTCTGAAAACTGATCCCATGAAAGTGAAGCTGCATCAGCTGGGCTACCCTCCTTGTAAACCCACCACCAGTGATACGCTGCCCATGACAGCTAGAATGTAGTAAAAGTACCCCCACTTGCCTCTACAATACCTATGGTACAGAGAATACAGTGGCACTCCTCTAGAAAACAATGTGCACCCTCTGAAGACAAACCATTGAAAGTAGGAGGGTGATACTTCTTGAACCTTGCCAGTCTAAGCTGAACCTCGTTAGATGCCCTTGCCCTAACCTCAGGCTGAACCAGA